AGTGGCCTAGCCAGTCTCCAGATCTCAACCCCATAGAAAATCTTTGGAGGGAGTTGAAAGTCCGTGTTGCCCAGCGACAGCCCCAAAACATCACTGCTCTAGAGATCTGCATGGAGGAATGGGCCAGAATACCAGCAACAGTGTGTGAACACCTTGTGAAGACTTACAGAAAACATTTGACCTCTGTCATTGCCAACAAAGGGTATATAACAAAGTATTGAGATTAACTTTTGTTATTGACCAAATACTTATTTTCCACCATAATTTGCAAATAAATTCTTTAAAAATCAGACAATATGATTTCCTGGATTCTTTCCCTCCATTCTGTCTCTCATAGTTGAAGTGTACCTAGGATGAAAATTACAGGCCTCTCATCTTTTTAAGTGGGAGAACTTGCACAATTGGTGGCTGACTAAATACTTTTTTGCCCCACTGTATATTTCAACAGTGTCCAGTGTCCTTCCAAGTCCTTCTCGTTAAACCGGTCAGCAGAAGTCCCTGGATAAACTCTGCTCTCTACAAACAAGGGATGTCCTCCTGCAGAGCTCGGCACTCACTCGTGTGTGTGTGTGTGTGTGTGTGTGTGTGTGTGTGTGTGTGTGTGTGTGTGTGTGTGTGTGTGTGTGTGTCCTACAGTACACACTATAATCTTACATTTTCACAGAATATCAACAAAACTGGACACCCTGTTTTCGCCATGTGCCCGCGTCACAGTCTACTAACAGAAAACACATTACGTTATATTTTCCAGACACACATGCACACACACATATTTAAAAAGGCTGACAGAAAAACACACACGCTTGAACACACACCGTCTCCAGTGAGGATTCGAACCTTGAACTCCTGAGGTCTAGTTGCCTTGGGAATTGGCGTCCCATGTGACCCCCGTGACACCCGGCGACAACAAACAACCTCTCTGTACCATGTTGCTGTCGTGATGGGCTGTCATTAGCAGCGTAAATCATATTTACTGCGTCAGAGGAAATTGAATAAAGTAGGAATGTGCGTCTCTGCCTTCGATTCGATTATTTTGTATGTCCAGGAGATCACGTTTTCCCCGTGCTGGAAAGAGACTCGAAAGTACCAGGACATGATGTGACGGTCCTGCTGGAAAACTACAGACAACTTAAAAAAACGGGATCAGATTGAAGAGGGAAGGAAAGACTTCTGAAGAGTTTTTATCAACCGGGATTTCCTTACATTGATGTTTTGAACAACTGAAACACAACACAGCATTTCAACTGGGTATTAAAGAGGCCCCATTGTGCTTTTATCTTAGAGTGTTCTATAGGTTAGCGTTATGACCCAGCCCTACAGATAATATATTATGTCCTGAAAGTCCTGCACCTCAGTAAGAAGCTGATGTTTTATCTCCAAACAAACCCTGAAGCAAAATGTCCGATTACAACAATCATTAGCACTGACGGAAGGTTTCAGTGTTTGAGTCACACCGTTTAAATGTTAGCTTAGGATGATTATAACCCAAGGCTGCCATTATGACTGTGTATAATGCACTTTATGAGCAATCGAATGGGCCCAGACTAGGAGCATCTGTGGTTGAGATGGTGAATGTGAAGGAGAGCACTGCAGCAAAAAGGAAGGAGCTCAGAACAGCCCGTTCTTCTTTCATGGAAAATTAAAAGAGGATTTTTTTCTACTACATGTGAAAAAGCTGGACAGATTGACGGCTGTTGTGAAATTCAAAATGTCCCGGGATGACCTCTCCTCTAGGCGTAGGCACGCACACACACACACACACACACACACACACACACACACACACACACACACACACACACACACACACACACACACACACACACACACACACACACACACACACACACCACACACACACACACACACACACCACACACACACACACACACACACACAACACACACACACACACCACACACAACACACACACACACACACACACACCACACACACACACACACACACACACACACACACACACCCACACACACACACACACACACACACACACACACACACACACACACACACACACACACACACACACACACACACACACACACCACACACACACTACACACACACACACACACACACACTTTTAGTGTGACTTGTTCCTTCTCTTCAACATTCAGTCCAGATTAGAGATGCTCCGATCGCCAATTTCGGGGCCGATCGCCGGAATCAGTATCGGCCGATACCGATCGCCGATCTCCGATCGAGTGGGCGGGGCCTAAATGGAAGATTTAAACATCACTTTAAATCTTCCATTTAAAGTGATGTTTAAAACTCAGTTAATGCTCATTCACTGGAGCTTCCACAAACAACAATCAACTTAATTATTACATTCAAATGATGTACATTATTCAAGTTTACATTCACTTTGGATAATAACACGGGAGAAATTAGCGGAAGCGCTCTCTTTTCCTCTCTCCCTCTCTCCCCTCTCCTGACAGCCTGTCAGTATCTCATGCAGCTCACTGATCCAGTAATGAGTGACCCGACAATGAAGAATACATATATTTATAATAACTAGTTAAAAATCTTCAAATTCTTGGAGCTGGGCGTGTCTGAAAGCTTGGGGATTTTTTGCGAGCAACGCGACCAACAACCAATCACATGAATCTCCCGCCCCCGACATACAAAGCAAAAAACCCGGGGATTTTATGCGAGCAATATATATATATATATATAAACTCCCCAAACAGGCGAAAACCTACCAGTTTCACCCACTGTCTCTGGCACCTCCCTCCATGCCTGGTTCCTCCGGTTTGTATCCCGTTAATAGTTCTGGTCGTAAAGAACCGGGTGATTTGCTACCGTAATTTCTCGTTTGGAATATGAGGAAATGAACTGCGGTCTGGTTCTCCCTGTGTGTGTGTTTCGCTGCGCTTACCTGTCCGGCGGGCGGAGCTGCAGGATTTCTGCTTCACACACGTTGCATATCGCTATTTTACTGTCTTTTTCGGACACCTTAAAATAATGCCAGACCGGTGAAGCCATGTTGGTGAGCTTGTTTTGCCGCACACAGAGAAAAGTGTCATGTATTTTACGTCATGCGATCGGCTCTCGCGATCGGCATGTTTAGAGAGCACCGATCGATCGGTAGAGAGTGAGTATCGGCCGATATCGATCGGTGACCGATCGATCGGAGCATCCCTAGTCCAGATGTTATTACATTTGTCTCCAGTTGTTGTGTTTAGAAAAACTATTCTCGTTCACTTAAACGAGGAACTGAAACAAGACATGTTTACCACTTCTCTGCTTCCTCTTCACAACGAGTCACTACTCTATACGTGGTCAAGTGGTGTCAAGTGTCAACACTTTCAAATAAAACTGAAGAGAAAATCAGCCTGTTACGGTTGAGTCCCATCAACAGCCTGCATAGTTTTAATCCTATTGCATTCTCATTGCTATCAAGAGCTGTTATCACCTCTTTTCTGACCGTCTGAATATCACACAGGACAAGCAGAGACCTGCCAACTACCTTCAGAGAGCAGAGGGATCTTTCTTATGATAGTTATGGGATTACAACGGATGAAAAACTAGCTAAGAGTTTAATGTTATTTGGAGGTAAATACAACAGACGCACTTTCGAGGAATATTGCTCAAGAACACTGTGGGTAACAATCCCTATCCAGTATTTAGACGTGCAACTCCTCCTAGGCTAACACTCTTAAATAAACATGAGGGTGCAATGAGTCCCTTAGCAACAGGTTACCCAGCGAGAGATGATTAGCACGGTACTAAGAATGGGTTTAAAGAGGAACTGCTTGGCAACAAGTCCAAGTGCTCGCTAATGAGCACTTTCCACTGTCTGAGAGGGGAAGAGAAGTTGGAAGAGAGAGTGAAAATGCTAAAAACCCAGGGAATAAAAAGCTAATTGCTAATGATGCTAATACACGTTTCTTTCCTATATCTGCACAGGGACCTATTTTATTATCTTCTGCCGTTCCAAAGTCATGTGGAACTTTAATCTTGGACGACGGAGGGTGAAATGATCTTGGCCTCCTGATTTCCCCGGATCCTTGACACACAATTCTAATCAGCTAGAGCAGCGAATCATCAGGAACACTCATTTAGCTGACCCTCCCGTTTCTACTCCACTACACACTCAGACGAGGGAGGATTCTCTTCCACAAACCGCCGTGTAATTTCAAAAATACATGGTTGTCGGTTTTAAAGAAAGCTGACCCCAAGAAGCTTCTTCCATTCAGACAAAAAGCACGTCTCCAGACTTACTTCCTGTCTGGTGATGTCACTGTGACCTCAGTAGTAACCAGGCAGCTCAAATCACTGTCTGACGATTATGTGTTGTCACTTCACATGCGCTGAATCGTCCTGAAGGTTTAAAGTCATCTTGCCGTGGGTGTTATTTTCAAATAAGGCCTTTGAATCTTTGGGTCAGTTTTTTGTAAATGTGTTATTTTTAATAAAAGGACAGTTGAATTTTTTGTGGTGGTGTCTAATGAAAAGTCTGATGTCATTGTTCCTCATAACTATTTGTTCTTCCAGTTGTTTTCATATTATGTTGTTATCACATTTGATTAAGTCTTCACTTATTTGTGTTGCTTCCAATAAGCTAAGTGAGGTCTTAAACGGACACCATGATGATATACAAGCATTAAGTCATTAACGTGAGATAAATCTTCTCACTGCAGCACAGTCAAATGTATAAGTCATTTCCGTTTTTTGTTAGCTTGTTGTACAATCAGGTCAGTGACATTACGATGACACCGTCAGTAGCCGGGAAGTGTAGAAACCCAGAGTACACCAGAAGTACAGTGACCCACTTGAATGGTTTTCATTTCAAAGGCGAAGTCAAACCAAAGCAAAGTAAATCCATAAAGTGTGTGACTGAGTGAAGGAACATGCAGTGACTGATTAATCAGATGTATGACCATGACTCACTCAAAGCATGTGACACACGCACACACACAGTCCAAAGGCTGCACAGTTGTTGATTGTGATGTTTAATGGCTGTTTCAGATAGTAGATAGTAAAGAGCAGGATATGAGGGCCTATCAAAGTAGAGGAGGTATGAAATCAAGAAAGATCAGCAGCTGGGTTTGAGCCAGAGATGCTTTGAATATATGGTCAAACCAAGGTTTAACCCCCGGCCCCTCCCCAAGCTGTCTCTGGACCCTGACTGGAAACCATCTCTGTTACCTGAGCCGAGTGGAGGGTCATCCTCCGTGGCAGAGAAGTCTAGTGTGGCTCCTGCAATGTCCACCATCTCGTCATCATCATCTTCGCTGGGGTGATGAAGGCTGTCAAAGCTCCCGCTGCGGAAACCAGCCTTTTCCATCTCTTCTAATCCTGTTTACAACACAACAAGAGTCCGGTAAACACACATCCTCTGCCGTTTCATCAGGATCATATCGACAGGGGTGTGAAGTAACGTTCACTAGAGTACTGTACTTAAGTACAAGTTAGAGGTACTTGTACTTTACTTGAGTATTTCCATGTTATGCTACTCTGTACTTCTACTCCACTACAATTCAGAGGTAAATGGTGTACTTTTACTCCATTGAATACCTTTAGAGATGTGGATGAATGATGTGATATATAATCAAGTGTTGAACCAGACTTTAGTTCCACCTGGAGTAAATCCACAAGCTACCCTGCAGAATACAAAGTCATTCAGACTAGCTGCACCTTTACCAGCTTTGAGAACACTTTCAGGATCAATCATTAGAAAAGATTTCATATTAATCTGAAATGGACCCATCTGCACAATCACTACTTTTGGTACTTTAACTATATTTTGATGCTGATACTTTTGTATTTTTACTTGAGTGACATTTTTAATGCAGGACTTTTACTGTAACAGAGTATTTCCTACACTCTGATACTTCTACTTTTACACAAGTACAAGATCTGAGTACTTCTCCCACCTCCGATAAAGACATTAAATACATTTAGTTGAGTAAAAGTACACTATTTACCTCAATTATAGCGAGGTAGAAGTACAAAACAGCGAAAAATGTAGATACTCAAGTACAAGTACTTTAAAATTGTACTAAAGTACAGTAGTTGATTAAATGTACTTAATTACTTAAGTGCACCAATGCATCATAGCCAATGATGCCAGCACAGCTCCAGTTACAGGGAACTTCTTTCAAAAAAATGTCCGCCACTATTCTTCGTTTTATTAATAGAACAAACTGGAAATATCACATAGAGAAAATAAGATAACTAGCCTAACGTTAGCTTAAGCCGTCACTGTGGTGACAAACTGACAAAAATAACCGTTGGTCTTACGTACTTACTTACGTTAATTGTCAACACGCTCGACCCACTTTACATGCATTTTATAAATAAGGAAGGAATAATGGTAGAAAATGGGGTTGTTTTTTACCTTGAAAGAAGGCAGCTCGGAAGAAGTCTTGTGACTCGGATTTGTCGTCTTCTAACTGATTATGTCAACAGTAGCCAATGTAAACTTGAAGCTTTGCAGAAATCCTGCGTCATCCTCCGACCCAAAAACAGCTTTCAAAAGGTAGGAAATCACGTATGAGAAACCATAGTTTAATATTATGTTGGTAAGGTGCAACAAATAACGAACTAGATGGAAATTGCCCGCAGTACGTGGTGTTTTGCGACTTAAAACTGCAAAAGCTAGCGTCAAGTTAGATAGAATAGCTACAACTTCCGGTTAAGGTTAAGGTCTACCTAATTGTTTGGTAGATTATGAATTTAAAGTACAACATATTTGCTGCAACCGATGGCATTTTTCTTCTATAATTGAACAGTTAGATCTTAAGTGTATACCTACATGTTTGTCCTTTACGTTACATTAAATCGTTCCTCTTTTCTTCCAAGATGTCACATTGTACGTTTTATGTTGAAGGTCAAATCTCTCCTTTTCCGGTTAGCGGACTCATCACAGCTGCCTTGACGTGTTAATCTGCACACCAGGAATGTTAGTCGAGTCATGAGCTATCAATGCTTCTCCATATGGGTCAATGGAGCAGTTCGACTAATCGGTAATCTCTTATATTTTTACTGCAATAAAATACACATGACTTTGTCAAGGGGAGTTAAATAGCATATACAAAAAAATAAATGTGTGGTATTCATATCACAAGAGAATAAATAAGTTATTCAATAGATGTAAATAATTTAAAGGTCCCATGTCCCATCATAATTGGGTCATTCTACAGAAAAGGTGGAAGTGCTGTCACTTACTTTTGCAGACACCAAAATACATGACGTTGACCTAAACTCACATTCATTATATATGTTGAATAAATAGAGATTATCTTTGCAATGGTACTAAATAAAAAATGGTTTGATACGTAAATTGCAATTTATTTAAAATGTCAAGTTCAAGGAACTGCCTTGTCACTTTGATCATACATGGAAGTGGAGCCTATAGTTTTAATTTAAAATATTTTTTTTCAATAAATACATCTAATTTATATTTACATAACATTATAAGCATTAAATATAACACTGAAATGGTAAAAAAACGCAAATTATTATTAATATAATCAAATAAATGTCAGTCACCCAAAATTACGTCATTGGTGTTGTGTTACTGCTACACAAAACACTTTTATTTTTGAAATAATGTACTGTCTCTGAAGTGCCTGCTGTAACAAGAGATCATTTGAGGCAGTGCAGTGGACAAAGACATAAGTCAGATACTTCTTACTTTGTTTGTTAAAGGTGTCATTTTATCTTCAAATTTTACATGCATGCGTCTTTCAAGTCTGTCATTAGTGTTACTCATTGCATAGCCCTAGGGGTGAACATTTGAATGGGAAAATGTATTGTATTGAAGAGTTAAACGATTTTGATATTGACTGAATTCATATTTGGTCTGACACATTGCAGCCATTTTGTTAAAATGGTGGTGTTTTCTCCAAACTGTCACTGGTGTTACTCTTCTTCCTGGTAACACGTAACACCAGTGACATTCCTATACAAATATGCTTTGTATAAAGTATAAAAATAATAAAAATATTTTAAGCTCTACTTGTTGTGGATTCATCAAGTTAAGAGTTAGTTATTGCTATTTAACAGGTTTTAGATGTTTTTAGAAGGAATATATTTCAGCAGATTTGTATCACCCAGATTCCACCTTTTATGTAGAATGACCCAATTACATTGTTGAGGTATACTAAAATAAATGTATATTGTGCAATTTTCCAAATTCACATTGGTTTCTCATACAGCATCTCTGTAGTATTCACTCTCTGTCCTAAACGGCTTGTTGGAGCTCCTGGTCCAAATGGACAATCTGCGGAGCCGTTACGTTACGTTACGTCAGTATACCCAAGAAGTAATCAATGGAAAAAGAGAAATCTCAAACGAGGCGTTCTGGGGCAGCACAGACAGGTATTCTCTGTGTTAGAGTTTTACTCGCTACAGGGTGTACTTTGAGGGTTTGGGTGGGACTCTGCAGACTGTTTACATGCATAACAAGCTACATAACACACAAGGGGACGGCCGGGTAATAACCAGAAAAGCATGACATGGGACCTTTAATAAAAAACATTAGTGTTTTACTCTAATAATGTGGTAGTGATGGACTGCTTCTATAGGTTAAAACAGTTAAATGGCGACACCTCGTGGTCAACTGTGGGCATTGAACCAAGTCACTTCCTGAGGAACATGTAGTGGAGAGAAAATCCTGAAGTTAACAGTCAAAATGTGCTGACAGCAAGGTGTTATGTTATCCTGGGTGGTTATGACTTTATCCCTGATTGATCACGTCTTCCCATGACCTCCGCCCCTAAAATGACTGCAACCACTGCTATTTAGACATATGTATGGCTGTTTTACTTGCATCCTTTGGTTACTATAACCCTTTATGAACACAGTTAGAAATGCACTACATGAATACAGTTTTGTATATTTAAGTGTAAATATGCTTCTCTTTAATGACCCTCCTCACCACATCCCTCCTGCAGAGCTGCTGACTCCACTCTTCATCCATCAGCCCTTAATCTGCCCTCAACTATATTTACTTAACGTCCCACCAAATAAAAAAAACACCCCCCTCCCTCAAGAAGAACATTTGGGTCCTAAATCAGCAAAAATAAACCATTATAACCGAGTAGGATATAAATCACAACAGGAGACTTGAAACGTGTTTAAAATACTATTATTATTTATGGTACTCGTTCTCACGTGAGCGTTTTTGCAGTTTGAAATGCAGTTTTAAGAAGAAAAAAAAGGTCCTTAATAAATCAAAATGACATTGAACAGTAGAAATAAACTCTCAACAAGCCACTTTCTTTCCAATCTTGACACGTAAAAACGTTTCCAGTCGACTTAGAAAACCGCTTTTATAGTACAAGAAAACACAGAATATGTACAGAACGAACGAGTGGACATCTTCACTTCCGGGTTGTTTGGTATTTAAAAAGAAGGAAATATGTGAGAACAACCTGTGGAAGAACAAGTGTAAAACAGTAACTTTAATACAATTTAAACTGCATGTTTGTTAAAGTAGGAAATGATTAAGCGTGTTTTTTTTTTACATAACCTCAGTCCACCTTTCAACAGCCCAAATATACACATTTCCTCCCCTTCCTTCTCTTGTTCAGCTACAGTTTGTGTTTTATTTGATTTATTTGATTTACTCAGACAGGCAGTGGTGAAAGCTTTAATGTCTGAGGTTTGGGAAGCCGGTGAAAGCTCTGGAGACTTTGGCAAACATTTCACAAAAATGGGGAAGATTGAGTTTTGGCACTTTACTTTTCAAAAAAATATACATTTTACTCAATTTTCAAAAGAATACTTTAACATTTGTGGAAAAAACACTTATTTTCTTTCTTGCTGAGATTTAGATGAGAAGATTGACACTACTAAACATGCCTTTGTTCAACATGAAGCTAAAATCGTACTAGAATTAGCTTAGCTTAGCATGACCTCTCGAAACAGCTTAACTATGAGATTAAAGTCACAAATGTATGATTTGAGAATTTAAAAATAATACACACTTACAATTATAAGCTCTGATTTGTTCTCTGTATATTTACTTTATCCCTCCTGCTTCTTAATTATAATTGTTCTACCTACAATTGCCCTAAAACACTGTCGTCGAGGCAACCTGTCTCACTGTTTCCAGTCTTTACGCTAAACTAAGCTAACACAAGTGCTGGCTGTAGCGTTGTATCTAACACAGACATGAACTTCTAATCTAACTCTCAACAAGAATAGGAATACGTGTTATTAATACTGTCTTAAGTGAATATTTAATGTAGGATTTCAATGTAAACTGGGACTAGCTAGGGGCAATACACTTTACCAAATATCTGAACAAGCTAACGACAACAACTGGAGCTAATCAAGCTCTTCCCGGTCAAAATATACAGTAATCTCTTCCCGGTCTTCTCGTTCATCTTTTACAACCAATTTTTACAGGCATTTCCAGTCGTTTAAAAAACAAAATCACTATATACACATCGTTTACATTATAAACACAAGTGTCTTCTGTACATGAACAGTCATCGCGGGACAGTATAACGCGTCGGTGTAGTCTCAAACTCCACAGCTAAAATACAAAGTGATATGATACTATGGTAGATAATACAGAGTACGTATTGGCAGTTAATAATGCTGCAGCTCACACAACAGTCTCCGTGAATTCTCTGAACCAGGAGATTTAAATAGAAAAAAGAAAACACCAGAACAAAAAGCAGCGTCAGAGGAAATGTCTTTGGCAACGTAGTGTTAAAACGAGTTTCATTACAGTACATCAAGTGAAGCAGAGTCCAGTCCAGTCTGTTATCTTGTTGATAAAGAACTTTCAGAGTGTGTTTTAGCTGTGCTCCTTAGCTTGTAATCCTTTAAAGGAATAGTCTGACATTTTGGATTGCTAAATATTCTACAGCAAGAACGCCGTTAGCTTAGTTTAGCATAAAGACTCCATGAAGTCACAGCTAAGATGTATTCTTGCACACAATCTCCCCGTAAAATAAAACACATTCAACGGTGACATTTGGCAGAGTGATGTATTTCTAAAAAATGCCAAACTATTCCTTTAAAACATAGACACCGGTTGTTTTGTTTGTCAGTATAGTCCGTATCCCATGGACATCCCCATGCCGATGCCCAGCCCCAGCCCCAGGCTCTCCCTCAGCCCCCGCAGCTGCTCCTCCCCGAGCCGAGTCTTGTCCTCCAGCTGCCTCTGCTCCACCAGCAGCGCCGCCTTCATCTTCACAAAGTGACTGAGAGGGGAAAACACACATACAAATATATGTTAAAAATTGTTTGGAAAATACTGAATGTCCTCGTCCAATATCAGAGTCCACATGATGACAAAGGTATCCCAACTGTAGCTGTGAACATGACAGGATGTGTGATTACCTAGCTATGTGATTAACATGATGATTCAGCCTCTATGGAGATAGACATATGACAAGCATGCTCATTTCTGACGTGGAGCTAATCTGAACTAAACATTGAATACTGCTTTCTATTCCTCCATCTTGTGACTGTGTAACTCCCTCTCTTGGATATCAGCATGTGAAGGACACTGTTCAGGAACTAGCTGATGCTCTGTATGTGATGACTACTTCCATTCTGGAGAGGATCACAGGTACGTGGATCCTGAGGTTGAAGCTCAAGCCGGTGACGAGTGATTATTAACATTTTTTTTAATTAACAAGTATTCAGAAAAAGTCAGAATTTTTTGAAAAAGTCAGGATTTGGAGAATTTGAGACAAAATCAGAATTTTGAGAAAAAGTCAACATTTTGAGATTTAGAGAACATTACCTACAAGACTCCTGCATCTTTGTAACCCCCTCTCTTGTATGTGAAGGACACTGTTCAGGAACTAGTTGTACCAAATACTCTGTGTGTGATGACTACTTCCATTCTTGAGAGGATCATAAATACATGGATCCTGATTATTGAAGCTCAAGCCGGTGACCAGTGATATTTTTCTTACAAAAAAGTAAACTCAATGTGGGTCATGCAAGGACAAAGCAGGGAAATATTTGACTGTTGAATTGTAAACATTTTGCACTTAAGACGAGATTTATTCCATATTTTTTTCCATTCTATTTCTATGTAAATACGGCTATATTTTAATAAATTTAAAGTCAAATTCCTTGTACGTGTAAACCTGGTAATAAACCTGATTCTGATATTGCTTATATGATTTGTCTTAACACAAAGCATACGTTAAATACAGTTTCATCCCACAGGCCATAAGACTTTATGAGCTCTGCAATAAACCGTATTTAATTGTGTCTTAATGTACGTTATTTAATTTCATATTCTGTTCTTCTACATATCATATTCTATTGACATAATAGACTTGTTGCACTACTTTGTGTTTTATTATATGTGTTGCCTTGTTGGAGGAGCTCAGGTCAGAAGATTTCCATTGCCATTTCTACACTGTAGCTTATGAGCATGTGACAACAAAACCTTTGAATTTGAATGTACCTGTAGTCGCGGTGCTGCTCGGGGGTCAGGCAGCGGGCGAGCACCCGGCTGACGGCCTGCTCTCTGCGGTCCACGTGGTCCTTCAGGTCCTGAGCCTCCGACAGCTGACGCAGGAGCTGCCGCTTCTTCTCCAGCAGGGGGACCTGCAGGACAGAGGGACGGGGTGTTACATTTTGCACATAAATACATTCTTTCTTTACACAAAAATCATTTTCATTTGTTCTAGCTGATCCTGTGACATCTCCCATGAATTCCCTGATATTATTTATACTTTCTAGTCTCCATCTTTCTTAATTTTCACCTTTTTGTTGTCAGTTTTAAACCCCTTTCTTCAACCAGGCCGAAGCTTTTGGTGGAAATGTAATGCTACCTTTTCACCTCCCTATAGATGCAATTAAAAGCCATTTTCTTTCTCTTTCTCTAACTGCTGTAGCACTTTAAAAGACGATAAGATAAACCCACATAGTGACGCACATATCAAAATAACAGAATTAAATAACAACCATAAAGACGTCTTCCTCTCCCACAGTCTCTGAATAAGTTGCTTTATTTTAGTTTGTGCATACTATAATTCTACCACTTAAACTAGCCGTTCTTTGTGCTTTTTAAAGGCTGTGTGTAACCTCAGTAAGTGACACATACAGCCCCCTCTTCCTGTGTTCTGCTCACCCTCTCGTGGTGCTCCGTGTCGGGGTCCAAAGTGTCCAAAGTGCTCTCCACCCTCAGCAGACGTCCGGATAGCGACAGCAGAAGACTCACCACTTTATCCAGGTCTCCGATGAACATGCGGAACTTATCCACCTCGTTGGGTTTACACACCAGCACCACCATGCTCTCCACCTGAACACACACACAAAACTCAAAACCTGCACTTTGGACATGTTGCATCCCTCAGTGCTTAAATCTTCGATGTACAGATTATTGTGCAATAGAAAATGCAAGGTGCACAATTCAACTAATAAGGAATGAATGAGTGCGAGTCTGAAATCAGAGAAGTTCACAGGTATAATCTCCTAAAAAGGGAATTATTTGCTTGTTTTCTTGTAGATTTAATAGTTTTTTTACTGTAATTCATCAAGAAAACATAACATTAAGTATTATGAAGACCTCCTTTAATCCTTGAACAGTGAATATTTTGAACGTTTTGCATTGTTAGTGCGTTTAAGTTCCCTTACTTTGACTACAACAAATTATGGGTGTAACAAATAAACGAGAATAAAGAAAGACAGATTCCCACCTCCTCCCCCAGCTGGGCGTTGGCTCTGATGTCTTCCTGCAGTCCTCTCTGAGCTTCCCTCAGCACACCCAGCTTCTTCCTCAGACTCTCCATCAGCTGTTTCTGCATCACACATGGAGTCAATGTTAAAACAAGCCAATCTAGAGATAACAGGCAACACTTCACTGCTGTCAGCTTCACATCATTAGTGGTTCACTTATCAGAGAAGTTTACAGGTTCTTCATCGAATGCTGTGGATGTATTGTGATTTTAAAAAGGTCATCTGGACAACAGCTGGGAATTAGGAATGTTGGTTAAAGCTGCCCCACTTACTGTTTTGTGTGACAATGGGGACCGACCGTCCACGACACTATAAACAATACACTAAACTACTTTGTCTGGGAAACACTGATTGTAGCGATAAAAAAGTCAATTTTTTTTTAAACAAGTCAGATTTCTTAGGAAAAAGTCAGATATCTGAGAAAATGTCAAAACTGTGAAAAAAGTAAATTCTGCTGGAAAAAGTATTTTTTTTTTTTAAATAAGTCAGAATTCTGAGAAAAAAGTCAAAATTTGGGAGATAATTGTCAAATTTGAGAAAAAAGTGAGTTCTTAGAAAAAAGTCAGGAAAGTCAAAATACTAAAAAAAATCAATTCTAAGAAAAAAGTCATTTTTGAGAAAAAAGTAAAAATTGTTAGGAAAAAGTTAATTCTGTAAAAAAAAGTCAAAACTGTGAAAGAAAGTCAATTCTGATGGAAACATTTTTTTTTTAGAAATAAGTCAGAATTGTGAGAAAAAAATATTGCACTGAGAAAAATGTCAAATTTGAGAAAAAAGTGAGTTCTTAGAAAAAAGTCAGGAATCTGAAAAAAGTCAAAATACTAAGAAAAAGCTAATTCTAAGAAAAAAGTCAGTTCAAAGTTCATTCTGTATAAAAAACAAACAATGTCAACTTCTCCTCTGTGGGACGAACAAAGGTATTCTGATTCTGAACGTTGGTGTGTGTGTGTGTGTGTGTGTGTGTGTGTGTGTGTGTGTGTGTGCGTGTGTGTGCGTGTGTGTGTGTGTGTGTGTGTGTGTGCGTGTGTGCGTTACCTTGTAGGTGAGCTCGTCGTCCTCGTCCCGCTCTCTGGTATCTGTGAAGTCCTTCATCTGAGACAGGAGCTGGGCCTTGGCGGCCGACGTGCTGTAATACGACGAGCAGCTGGAGCTCGCACCGGAGCGCCTGAGGGGAAACAGTTTATTTTATTTACGCACAGATAAAACACAGAGCGGAGCGATATGAAGCAGACACGAGGTCGTAAATACAGTGATTAGAAAAGTACATAAATAAGAAATGCAGTCAATTACGTGGGCTAAAGGGAGGCAGAAGGAAAACAAAAAGGGCATATGGGAACATGTTAATATAGTAAGAGTGTAACTGGAGAACAGACGATGAAGACAGGCTGCTGGTCAACAGACACATCCACCTTTCAGCAAGGACCAAGGCGAATATCTTTTATTGGACATTTAGGTTTAACTTCTTGCATTTTTATAGAAATATTTGTTTTAACCTTTAAAGGACATTCTTACTTTGAAATATTCTTATGTTTAAATAAATATTTGTATATAAAAAAACATTGTTATTTTATCTTTTTATGGTAATATATATATTTATTTTTTAGGGCTGTCAAGTTAATGCGTTAATAACGCAAACATTATTTTAACGTGATTAACGCATGTGCATTTTTTGTCCCCGGCCGCCCGTTTCAGAGCGCATCGAGTTTAAAATACCATCTATACAATCCAAGCACACTGCTTGATAAGAGTATTCAAAACTTGAAAAATATTCCTCTAAGGTACATTTAGAACAGACAAAAAATCTGCGATTAATTTGCGATTAAATATTTTAATCGACTGACAGCCCTAATTTTTTTACTTTATCGAGCATTTTATTTTATGTTTGAATACATATTTGTATTTTTTAATTTACATTTCTTTAACTACTTAGGTTTATAGAAATATGTGTACATTTACATTTTTGTATTTTTGTATTTAATTCTACAATGCAGCACCTGTCAAGAAACCCAATTACTTTGCCATCAATTGCTTTGATAAAAAAAAAAGTATTCTGATTCTGATTCATGTGTTATGGTCTTCATTGAAACTGTTACTTTAATGTACAAATATAGGACTTGTCCTTCTGTCATATGTGGCAGTAATTACCCAGGTGGCATCTGTGTTGGCAAAACAAAACATTTGTAACGGGGAGAGTTACAAAAAAACTTGGCTGCAGCAAGGTGCTCTGGAAACGGGGATAAGCTCAGAGGAGGAACAGTTAGGTCTTGTACAAATCAAATGGTCTGTGTAATTCACACACACACACACGCGCACACACACACACACACACACACACACACACACGCGCACACACACACACACACACACACACACACACACACACGTATACATCACTTCAGGGGACATTACATTGACTTACATGCATTTCCTTGAGACTTATCCTAACCTTAACCATAACCAACACATGCCTAACCCTTACCCTAACCCTAACCCTTACCCTTACCCTAATCCTAAACCTAATCAAGTCTTCACCCTACAATTAATGATGCCCCTCATGGGGACCTCCAATTTGTCCCCATAAGGGAAGCCAGTCCCCACACGTGACTATGTAAACAGATTTAGGTCCCCACAAGTATAGTAATGCTAGAACACACACACACACACACACACACACACACACACACACACACACACACACACACACACACACACACACACACACACACACACACACACACACCACACACACACACACACACACACACACACACACACACACACACACACACACACACACGTCCATTGTCATATCTACACTGTAGCTATGTACACATGACAATAAAAGCCTTGAATGTTGAATCTTGTTACCTGTCCAGGCTGTTGGTGTTGTGCTCCGGGCTCTGATAGGCTCCTCTCCAGCTCTCTCTACCCGACTCCCCCTCACTGTTTTGGGGGAAGAGCTCCTCCAGACTCAGCCTCTCTCCTCCGCTCTCCTCCTCCAACGTGTCGATGTCCGTCTCCAGCACCGTCACCGGCAGAGCGAAGCACGGCAGCTCGCTGGTGATTGGCTCGTCCTCGGCCAGAAGCACGTCCTCCTCCTGGAAGTCGTCGATGTCCGTCTCCATGGGGATGTCCAGCTCTGCGTCCAGGCTGTGGGCGGGACTTGGGCTCAGGGTGGTTTCTGATTCGTTCCCTGGTTCGAGAGAGATCTTCTGGGGCTCGATGCTGTGGAAGAGGTAGGATTCAGGAGGGGAAACCACGCCGACGTTATCCATCACAGGTGGAAGGGTTGAGTCGCTATGAACTCTGGGACATGGAGTTCTCTCCCACTCTGCTCCAGGTCTGATGTTAGAGTGATTTTTGAGAGGCTTCACTGTTACTCTGTCCTCCTCAGGGCTGATGATCATCTCAGATACCCTGCAGATACACAGATAGACTTTATTAACACAGTTATAAACACATATTGAAACCTGGATACAAAGATAGGCATTTCATTTACTTTTAAAAATTCCAATTGAGGTTGCTGTTCTAACATCAAATGGGAGGCTGTTCACTTGGACATTAATAGTGACTTTCAAATGCAGTAAAATATCATCCAAAAGTAGAATTTACTACCGATCTCACCTGTTCTTACTGCTCTCTTTTGGTGGAAGTGGAGGTGGAGGTCGAGAGGATAAAACCTCCCCCCTCTCCTGCTGAGAATACACCCCCATCAGGTCTCTCTCTGCCTGGGGAGGAGCCACCGGTCTGAAGCCCCTCCTGGAGAACATGGGACTGGGCGGAGCTACGGTAAAAGTCCGGTCCTGATGCGGCATTTGATTGGATGGAGCGTGGGAGAATGAGTGCTCCTGCGTTTGTGCTGGATTCTGATTGGATGGAGCGTGCGAGAAGGCGTGCTCTTGTATTTGTGCTTGATTCTGATTGGATGGAGCATGCGAGAAGGCGTGTTCTTGTGTTTGTGCTCGATTCTGATTGGATGGAGCGTGCGAGAAGGCGTGCTCTTGTATTTGTGCTTGATTCTGATTGGATGGAGCGTGCGAGAAGGCGTGCTCCTGCGTTTGTGCTTGATTCTGATTGGATGAGAGTGCCTGGGTTTGGCTGCAGTTGCATCTCGGGCAGTTTTCGGACACTTCCTGTCTCTGTGGAGGAAGACTGAAGGACCTCTGTCTGGACGTATCGGTTGGAGGAGGAAGTGGAGGGATGCATGAAGAAGAGGAGTGGGTGGGGTCTACAGATGGAGCGATGGATTGAGGAGAGGCGGAGAAAAGGCTGTGGCTAGACGCCCGTCTGCGGTGAAACTGCTCCCATTTTGGGGGTGGAGGTCTCGGTGGAGGCGGGGTTTTCTTCCTGTTCATCCGTGAAGTGTTAGCAGTTTCTCCTCCCATGACTCCTCCTCCTCCTCCTCCTACTCCCTCCTCCACCTCGCTCAGCGTCTGGCTGGTGGAGACAGAAATGGAGGGCGACCAACGTTGGTTGTTGTTGTCGAAGCGGAGGTCGTTTTCGGACATGGCTCGGCCTCGGAGAGAGAGAGGAACCGACGGAGGAGGGAAGGAGAATCCGTTACGATCCTCTCCATCAGACGGCCTGTGGCTCCTCTGACCCTGATGGAGCTGGCTGTTGATCTCTGGAGGTCTGGAGTAGTCCCTGGGATATGGAGAGAGAAGAGCATTACAAACCATACTTCGATGTCAACAAACAGATACAGAGTGAAGTGACATTACGACACTACCAAGGGGAGATACCACAAGCCACAGTTGTACATCTTGAGTGACTCTGAATAACTCAAGATGTATTTTTCTTACTTTAACTATAATTCAAGTTTAACGTTTTGCTTTAATAACACAAGGAGGTTAAAACCGCTCACTAATGTATGTGGAAGAGTGAAGGCATAACTTAGCATACAGACAAAGAAGCACCTATGTGTGGGCTTGGATTATAGTTTGTATGTACGGTAAAGTGGAAAAAACAGCCAGGTTTTTACACTTCAGCGATTATTTAACACTTTTTTAAACTCAGTTTTGTATTGGGACTGTGTAGGTGAGGTTGACTGTAACGTCTTCTTGGTAACATACTCTTGTGGTATTGTATATATTGTTTTTCTATTTGTTCTTATACTGTTTTATACTCGTACTTTTACCATTGTCTAATACAGCAGTTAATGTCCATGTTACGCAACAAAACAACAACATATGGAGATTCGGGTGACTGAAATATAAGATTATATGTCCTTGTCGGCAAACTTGAGTAAAGGGGTGCAATAAAGAACATTAAAGGAACAGGTCATACTCATTTGTACACAGTCCTGATAAAGCGGTTGATTTGGAGTTTTTTGAACGTGTAATTATTTAACAAACAGTTAAACATGTCTTTTCAGGTAATGTGTTTTAATGGGACTGTGTATGATTTGTCATTGTATATATTTTGGGTTTTCCTTTACACTTGTTGTTGCTCTCTTGCTACCTTAATGCAGCAATTGAAGCAACATTTCCACTTTACGAAACAAAAACAGTCGTTAAATTACAGTAAATGTTTCCTCTTTGCATTCCTTCTGTTTCTCTCGGGTCAGATATGAGTAGAGGTCTCTCTTTACAGGCCATGCATGTCCTAAACCCCCCCCTCTCTCCACCTCCTGCCATACAGGAATCACCATCCAACCACATATCATTATGGGCACATTTTGAAGCATGGATGATTGCTCTGCACACTTAGAGCTCATTATAGTCAAATCACAGCCAGGCATGACTGAGTGAGGTTTCCTCCGTCACAATGCACAATGGAGCGACCCCACCTAAAGACCCCACTCACAGACAACCAGAGATGAAGTGTGTGTCGAAAGTAATATATAAAATACTCAAAAGATCTTGTTTATATGAGTGTCTGTGAGGCAGCGACAGGAAGTGGCTCACCTCTCAGTCAGGCTGTACTTCCTGTTCAGCTTGGCCGCTTCCTGTTGCCGGGCGGGATACATCTGGGGAAGACATTAAAAAGCCGGTTAATAACACGGTAGGAATGAAGGAAGGAATCAATCTGGTGCAAAGTGTTGGTCAGCACACGTCCCGGCTGAGAGGAAGTGGGCGTGCTGCTCCACCCGTCCGGATACTTTAATGGTGATGAGGTTCATTAAGGTGGAGGTATTTTAGCATTTTAGAAATCTTTTTCTCATTCAATTGTTTTGAATTCTTAGTCTCATTTCCACTATCAATTCATCTACCACTTATGTTCTTGATAAGCAATATAGTAAGTTATACAATGTCAATACAGATCACTATGAGTGCACGTTTTGTCTCACTATTGGTCCAAAACTCAAATAAATATATTTTACTATCATATTCCAGTTCAAATGTTTGCTAAAAAAACGAAAATGAATCAATTATAAATTGGTTGTCAGCCAACAAGCTCTTTAATTATTTTTGTGCTGTTGATGCAGTCTCACGTTTAATTTTGTTCTTTATTTTCAATTAAAATGGAGTTGAAAGACTTTTTTAAGTATATTTATCCAATTGTAGGCAATGCACTTCAATGGTTTTGACGTTTTTTAAAGCACTTGTAACTTGAATGAACTGAATCCAGTTCAAACTTCCTCAAGGTCTTCATCTGCAGATAGTTTGCTGAGTTTAAAGATTAATTTGTCAAACTAGAGTAAGCTATTAAGTTTCACACTCAATTTTGTAAACCTGTTGAAATGTTCTCGAGCTACATTACTACTTTTCACACAAAGCTTCCCTTTTTAATTGCTAGAAGTTACGACTAAATCCACTTTAATGGGTAGATTAATAATTAAACAGCAGGTATTAAGTAGGTAAGGGAATGTCTCTTGTTGATTTAAGAAACAAAGCGCATTATGTCCACACACAGGAAACGTCTGCACAAAGCATTCAGCAGCTCTATTGCCCAGCAGAGGAACACACACACACACACACACACACACACACACACACACACACACACACACACACACACACACACACACACACACACACACACACACACACACACACACACACACACACACACACACACACACACACACACACACACACACACACACACACACACACAATGTATACATCACTTCAGGGGACATTACATTGACTTACATGCATTTCCTGGAGACTTATCCTAACCTTAACCTTAACATGCCTAACCCTAACCAAGTCTTCACCCTAAAATTAATGATCCCCCTTATGGGGACCTCCAATTTGTCCCCATAAGGGAAGCCAGTCCCCACACGTGACTATGTAAACAGATTTAGGTCCCCACAAGTATAGTAATGCTAGACCACACACACACACACACACACACACACACACACACACACACACACACACACACACACAGTTATAGATATATATTATTATATATAAAGCATACTGGGTTTGATTAGGGTATTTTGTCTAGTGGAGTTTGGACAGTTCCTACACATATTACTGCACACACACATACAGTCATAAACACACACACACACACACACACACACACACACACACACACACACACACACACACACACACACACACACACACACACACACACACACACACACACACACACACACACACACACACACACACACACACACACACACACACACACACACACACACACACTTGGACTGGTGCGATGTGAATTTAACATATGTGGCCTTTCTGTCAACAGAGCATCAAATCCATAACAACTGATAAGTTTGTGATAATAAAGTTTAGACCACAAGTGCCTGAATCTTTATACAGTCTATGGCCTGAATGTACCCCCGCTGCATTTAAATCCATTGTCTCTTCAAAAGAGCATATTGTAATGTATAGTTTCCTTTGGCTTCCATTAGTGAATATATGGAATAAAAACACCTAATATGGCTTTTTTTGGCTTAACTTTAAAACAATTGCATAACTAACAAAACATACGTTGAACATTTAATACATGATTTTTAATTGTGGGTTTCATTTTGAATGAGCATTGGGTATACAATGTTTTCCATACTTTCCTTTAAGAAAATGATGTGTAATAAAAATAAATAAAATCTAATAGTCACATTTTGCCAATAAAAATGTAAGCATTTCCTAATATGTCATAAGAAAAGAGTCCATTGAGTGACAGACCACAAAGAATAATAATAAAAGGAGCCAGTTACACTTCTATATATTCTAACACGGTGTTCCCTTCCCAAAACAAACATGAATGAACTGAATTCTACTCAAAATTAGGAACTGTGTGTTTGGATTGTATCGTGAGAGATGACATGTACGTCTTGATATGTACGTGTTTCTCTTTGCATGAGTGTATCTCGATGTGTGTCACAGCCCTTTCGTCCATCTAGAACATCTGTTATAAATATTGGACGTTGTCAGCTGCAGATATGAAACAGGAATTCAACGCATGGGGTTATCTGTGTGCCATCAAAGCAACAACCTTTCATTTGAAAAGGATCCCAACATGGGGGGGGGGGCAGGGGGGGGTTAAAGGCACCCCTGAGGCCTCTAAACACACAGGAAAACAACACAACATATCTGCTGGAGGCATCAAGGCCAAGGCTAATGTCAGTTTAGCTTTGCTCGGGGTCACATGATAAGGTTACTAATGGGCTGAAGTTCACAGAAGAGTCAAACGTTTAGACCGAGGGCTGCACCCCCCGCCAAGACACTCGAATAAATATGTGGTAGACAAAGTAACCCAACGCTGCTATTATCGCTGACACAAGTGTTCGCTGCTGTTGCCCAATCTCTCTCAGCTCCAGGAGCTATTTGAATTTTCAATGAGAGTTTCAGACTCTGACCGCATGCAGGATACGAGGATCGACTACAAACCAACCGTTCAACCACGGAGAACTTGGAGCGAGTTGCTACTCCACCATCCAAGTGTGATACCCTTTCTGGTTTTAAAGATAGTTTTCAGTCTCCAGTGGTCATTTAAGCTCAGACCCAAACCACAGTCTGATTTCAGCAAGCTGTACAGTTTCTCTCTGAGAGGCGTTACTTGGTTTCGGTGCTGCAGGGTCACAGGCTGTTATTCAGCTCAGCAGACCTGCTGCTGGCGATCGGTTTGCCTTGTAAACATACTTGTTAATGGCTGCAATTACAACGTGTTTATGTCCCAACAAGATTGATGCCTTAAAAATGAGGTTTTCAGGTCTCAATGTGATGCAAAAGTGGCTCAACTATAGACATTTGTTTATCAGATAGGGCTGCTCGATTATGGCAAAAGTCATAATCTCGATTATTTGGGTCAATAATTGTAATTGCGATTATTAAATTTGATTATTCATTGACTTTGAAAATATCCATTTATTGGAGAATTACTATTGGTTGATTACCCTGAACTTTAAGTATAATTCAACTGAAAACCCCAAAAAACAAAATTATTAAAAAATAAATAAATAATAATAATACAAAAATAATCGTTTTATTTCGATTACGTTGTTTTCGTAATCGTTGCAAGCCATAATCGTAATCGCGATTAAAATACGATTAATTGAGCAGCCCTATTATCAGATGTGTTGACAATAATGGTTTGGTTGCAGGCCACCCTTTGTTTCAACAATTTAACAATTAAGTTAAGTTATTGACAGAAAATATAAGTGCTAGTAAGAGTTAAAAGCATGGGAGGGAGATGTATCCTGCCCGGCAACAGCGTACCAACCCCTATACACAATTGTCAAACAGGACAGTCTAATTTATTTAGAAAAACAAGCTTGTGCCACTTCTAGGGCTCTTGTGCCACTTCTAGGGCTCTTGTGCCACTTCTAAGGCTGCTCGATTATGGCAAAAGTCATAATCTCGATTATTTGGGTCAATAATTGTAATTGCGATTATTAAATGCGATTATTCATTGACTTTGAAAACATCCATTTGTTGGAGAAAAATGTGAACAGTATGTTTTTAACAGTTGATTACCCTGAACTTTAAGTATAACTCAACTGAAAAACCAAAAAAAAAAAAATTATTTAGAAAAAAAACAATCTTTTTTTTAATAATAATAAAAAAATAATTGTTTTATTTCGATTACGTTGTTTTCGTAATCGTTGCAAGGCATAATCGTAATCGCGATTAAAATACGATTAATTGAGCAGCCCTAGCCACTTCAATAAATCATAAAGTGATATGTAGTATGGAGTGAATGTATTTCAAGACCAAATGGCAACTGACCAAAACTTCAACTCACTCCAGATCTCTATCATCTACTCTTTCAGGCCACATATCACTCGCTGTCTCTTTTTGTCCATAAACCTGACAGAGACAAGTTTATAATCCAGATCCCAGGAAAGCAAACTCTACAGAGAGCTAACCCCGGCGACCCCTGACTCCTTCATGACCCGTAAAAAAAACCGGCACGTGTCTTTGATCAATGGGCGGGAAACAGAATTTGCGAATGTATTGATGCATGTTTGAATGAGGGCAGCACTCTTACCTCTGTGGGTGTGTAGCTCCTCGCTGTGTGTCCCTGCTGAAGTGGTTGCTGGCTCTCCATTGGCTGGGATGGGGTGTTGATGGGATGGAAAGCCGATCGAGGGACTTGATTCTGGGTTTGGCTATGGGAGAAGGTCTGAGGCTTTGGCTGGAAGATGTGTTGGAAGTCTTGATTTCTGTCTTTGACGCCATAAAACTCCTGATGTGAGCTGAGCTGAGCATCTTCCCTTTCCTTCTCCCTCTTCAGCTCTTCCTTTCTTTCTTTTGTGAGACATTCCTGCTCTCTGGCCTTCTCCCTCTCCAACTCAAGTTCCCTCTCTCGTTCCCTTTCCCACTGTCTCACCCTCTCCTCTCGTTCCCTCTCCCTCAGCCTTGCCCTCTCCATTTCTAAATCCCTCTCCCTTTCTCTCAGCCTCTCTTCCCTCTCTCGTTCCCTTGCCCTCTCCTCCCTTTCCCTCGCTTGTTCTCTCTCCTTCTCCTTCTGCCTCTCCCTGCTTGTACTCATAGAAAGCCTCCTGGCCTCCACAGAGTTTGAAAGGAGGTCGCTTTCCTGCAGAAGTCCCCCCTGGTAGGAGTATCTTCTCTGGGTTGGGTGTTGACCAATCTCCCCTCCCTGGTGCTCCGATTGTTGGACGGGTTTTTTCTGCCTCCGACTCGACATATTAAGCCCGGAAATACTCTTGCTCGTCTCCTCGAAAAACTTCATTCTATCGGCAAACGGAAGGATTTCGGACTCGTCCTTCCGAGAAGAGGAGCGAGTGTATGAGGATGAGGATGAAGATGAGAAGGCACAAACCCCATGCCGTGATCCTGTGAGTCCCAACGGATCCTTATCCAAGATTCTACACCGTCGTTCTGATTCGGGTTCTGGTTGGAGTTTGTGCTCTGGGGTCCAACGCCAGCGACGGGCTTTACCAGCAGGAGCCGGTTCCTCCACCACTCGGACGCCAACACCAAAATGTGGCACTCCTGGGTCCAGAATCTGTACGGACCTGGATAGGTTGTTGTCTTGAGTGTAGCTTGTGGACTGAGTCTGCAAAACATCACTTGCTTTCTCGACCGGTGCTGTGGTGATGGCATCTATTTGGGGACTAACAGGTCGGGCGAATGCAACTTTGGTAATCCTTTCCTGGACAGGCAGGTCTTGCTCATCCCCTTCCTCATTGAGGTCTGGACCTTCCTCCTCCTTCACAGTTTCCCCACTACAGAGCAACCCTCCTGGGCCCCGGCTCTTCTGAAGCTGGGCCTTTTTCCTCTGGATCTCATTACGGAGGTTGGTCGCAAAACGCTCGTTGCGACGGCGGTTCCTGCGATGGTTCCTAGACGCCGGGGACCTCTTCATGTCCTCTCCTACTACACTCTCCTCAATGTTACCTCTATCCACTGCTCTCTGCTCTCCCAGTAAAGTATCCATACTAGCAGCAGCACTAAGAGGCTGGAAATCTCTCTCTAGTATCTGGTCTGAGCTCAACTGTCCCTTGATTGACGATCCAGTTGGGTCCCCAGGGACACTCGCTGATCGGCCCCAAGGGTGGTGATGCTCAACTGTGGATCCATTTAGCCTCTCCTCATCATCTTCCAAGAACACAGATCCCGGGGTTGAGCAACGGCTACCTCCCCATTTATTTGACGGTCCGTTGGGGTGGTTGTAGGAAGTTTCTTGGTCTTCCCTCGTGGCCTGGAGCGATGAATAAGACCACTGGCTGCTAGACGAGGACAAGGAGGGATCAGAAGTATCCGACGGATTGCGAGGCTTCAATGAAGATGCGTCACTGTCACAGTCCAATAACTGGAGCTGTGTAGCGAGGAGTTTAGCGGGGGCGCTGTGCCGGTGAAGCCCCGTCGGGGAGTGCTTGATCTCTGAGTGCGTGATACGAGATCGCTCTTGAACATCCATGGAGGATTCGGCAGGTAAGGAGGAAGGACAAAGAGAAGTCATGGGGACTAGGGAGGACGTCTCTGAGGTGGTTTCTGTATTGTAGTCTTTATTAGCACTGATATCACATCGGATATGTCTAATGTCTTCAGTCTGTCTTTGGATATAGTGCGAGTTCAGGGTATCCTCTTTAAAATTCTCACCACATTCCTCTGGTGCAGGGAAGCCGTTTTGAATTCCTGATTCAACATTCAGAGAGGACTTTACTTCCTGGTGAAAAGGAACGCTGGAAATGTCAATGGGAGCAGAGACGCAACGTTTGTTGGCGGCGTTCGGGCGACTCCGAGTTGCCCTAAAACTGTCCTTCCTGGTCGGAGGCTGAGGAGGGTTCATCTTTCTCTCAGCTGCTTTTTCTCCATTTCTTATGATCTCAAAGTCTCCTCCCCTTCGCTCGTCCTCATAACAGCAGGAGGAAGGCCTCACTTTTATCTCAACGTTTTTGGATCTCGGCCTGGTGAGCGACCTGGACTTGAGAACAATAAGCTGCAAGTCATCCGGGGCCTCGCTAGATGAACTCCCCAGGGTCGAGGTATCACCGACAGGGTAGCCTTGACAAGATGGCCCCAGCCCCTGCAGGAGGTTATCCATGGAGCAGGCTTCACCGGGCCTTAGTGGCACCGTTGCGTAGTCAGATGTGTTTGAGCTGGCGGAGAATGAGCTGTAGGCAGAGTCTCTTTTGTTGTTGAAGAGGGTGGGGTCGACGGGGGAAATATGGGAGTCAGAGTATGTCTGCGGTGTGGGTGTTGGTGTGTCCAAGCTTTCCATGGAGCCCAGGGAACTGCTTCGGTCCGTGGAGGAGTAAGGTCTGGACAGCTGACCCCACTGTAAGTCACTGCAAAGACAAAGAAGACAAAGAACATCAAATTAATTGTCGTTTAAATGCTTGAATATATTCCCGAAAAACTGCAGACATCATGCAACCCTTTGCGTACACCTTCTGATGACACAATTTAAGCCATTGGGAACACTTTGCGTAGTCAGAAAGTAAAAGATCGCCTTGTGACGTCCCTTTGGTCTCTGAAAACTTCCAATTGGCACTTGTCATTGACTTTTGACATTTTATAGTGAAAAATCGGAACCATTCCTACAACAAAAACTATTGAGAAACTACATAAAATAAACAAGTTTCGGTATCCCCCTCGAGACGTATAAAGTGTGTCGTTCTGGAACATAACTTTTTAACTGTACAGCTGGGGAATCTGTTTTCTATCAGTCGTGAGCCGAAGATCCACGGCAGCCCCATGTGTTTTCTAAGACCCTCAGAGGAAGCTTCTAAAGGCGGTGAGGGATTTCCTCCTCATCAATTCCAAATGCCTGAAGTCAAAATCTCAAAGCTATCCCCTTGATTCCTCTCTTCCTCTTTTCATTCAATTATTCTTCATGTGGATTCTTGCTGTCCCATCTCCTTAACATCAAATATGAATGCAATCCAAAATGACGTTTTTTTCCAACATACTTTTTCCAACATATGGCACCTGCTATCCTTTTTCAGATACGGAAAGAAATCCCCAAAAACCTTCAAACCTCAAGAAAAGCAAGGGAGGATATTTCTCCTCCACAACTGCTTAGTATGCAATCACAGTGATTGTTGTTCAAATAACCCTCTCCTCTGTCCCCCTCACCAGTGTTTCCCATACATTGATTTATTTGTGGCGGGCTGCCACAATTAAATATCGTCCGCCACAAATGGATCTCATAAAAAATAAATAATAATGCTTTTTCTTTTCTTTTAAACATTTTTTTTTGGGTGGTCTTATGGATAGTGAGGTGGGCTGATGATCGGAAGGTTGCGAGTTCAAATCCCGCCTGGAAAACCACTACTAGTGTGCCCTTGAGTAAGGCACTTAGCCCTCAGTTAGTCCAGGGAGAATGTCCCTGTAGTTGGTCGTTGTAAGTCGCTTTGGAATAAGGCGTCTGCTAAATGCCTAAATTGTAAATTATATTGTTGGGAGAATAAACCCCACAGATCCTCGACTCCGGTGTGTCTCACTCATTAACAACGCAACACAGAGCAACAAGAACGTTGCCTACAGTAGCCATGAACTCGCATGTATTTTCTTATTTGAGGGGGGATGCGTGGGCCACCCGAATAGGTTAAGGGGCCTTTGGCTTTTCTTGCCAGGGGGGAATCAAATTCTGTGGGAAACACTGCTCACTGTATTAGGGTTAGAAATGCCAGAAAAAAGACAAATAAATTGAGTAAAAAGAAAACAGAAAGAATGGTTTTCCCAACAATATCAACTTCTTAAGAAAACCACATAAGACAAAATGAAAGGGAGTTATTTCCAGCGTAAGTAGAGCTAAGGGAATGGGAGTATGGATAGTAAATCCAGAAGGTAAGAGCACCCACTGGTTGAAATCCAATTCCCTTTGAGAATCCAACAAAAATGTCATTTTCGTTTTATTGTGGTATTTTTCCCTATAAAAAAAGAGCGAGTGGTAACTCTCCCTTTGTATTTCTTTGCTGTCTTATTCAAACAATAGGGAAAGTTGCCAAGGAGACAGAGGAGAGGTTGGAGAAGAAAGACATTTCTAAAAGGGCTTTGATGTGAAACGAGTAACCGGCAGAATATCCTTGGGCTGTTTCTGTGGTATTTATGGTTTACGATCCATTGCAAGATCTGAAAACTGATCTTAAAAAGTGTTTTGAGGTAATCTTCTAAAAATATGATTATGTGCTCAGATATTTTTTAGTGGTCTGCAGAATTTGTGGAGGTAATTTGTCTTTTTATGCACTCATCATTATTGCACTGTGTAAATAAAATCTATGAAAGTGGTTTTGGATGCTTAAGCCCATTTATTACAAATATTGTTTTTATATTACATCAATTTTGCAAAGAATTCTTCGATGTTTTAGAAAAAAATTAGCTTTGTTTGGCAACCTTTTGCTCCTGAAACTTGTTTAATCTATCTCCATGAACCTCGAGTCTATTATTTCTGATAATGTTATTGTAAAGAGGATAGCAAAAGTCAAATTCTCCCCGCATAGCACTTGGTTTTGACAGTCTGACAAGTCTGTTGGGCATATTCAATGCACAGCAAGTGTTTCAGAAAGTTTCAAGAACTGCTTTAAATGGAAAACAATGGCTGCCTTGAAAGGTAAAACACAGCAGTTTCACGTTGATACTAGTGGGAAACGATGTCATTATCTGCATGAGAAAAAGCCTTTAAAGGAAGTGAGCAATGAATGAAAATGGATGGGCTGTTGTATAGATTTGACCTGGGTGACAGAGAGAGGAACAGAGGAAATGAGACGGGAGCTGGACAGGAAATGACAGTCACTCCCGCCCAATCAAACGTCAAATGTGGAACATGTGAGTGCTGATACAGATAACGCACAAACACAACTACTGTACACGATGTGTGTTCAGAAAACCCAGCTCAAAATATAAGCAGTTTAGCTCAGAAACTGGTGTCTTTCTTCCTCAAACACTTGCATATTTCGTTTAAGTACTTCCATATAAACAGCCTGTACAAAATGTCCCTCTGCTTCACACAGTTTATTGAATGTCTTCCTCTCTTTGTCCACATGTTCTGGGAGTCACATGCCATTGTCCAGAGTTATGCCGGGAGCTGCCTCCTCGTCAGATGCTTCTGTGTATGTGTGTGTGTAAGACAAACTGTGGGAATAAAAGACCCACACACACACAAAAACACAAACATACACTGCTATCTAATCCTCATGGGACCATTAAATCTAATCGGGGTGCATTATATCACTGATTCCTATCAAAATGAATACGAGGCGCTGACGTCATCCACCGTGAAGCTGACTAACAAAGATTATTTTTATTGTGAGTCAATATACAGACTGCGGTAACTTCCTCTTTCCTTTAAAGGGTTACACTTCAGCTTTGTGAGATCATGCTGCAATACAAAGACGACCGAATGGACGATTCAGCCTATTGTCCTAATGGTTACGCAATTATAAAAATATCCATGTCATATCAAGGTGTGTAACCAACTTACAAATTGATTAATCACTCCAGTCTTTTATTGGACTTCAGGCTTTTAAGATGTGATTATTTAAGACGTCATCATCCTTACATGGGACTAAAAAGCCTACACAACGACCATCACACGGTCAAAATAAATCATATTCGAAGATGAAATAAGATCATTTGATTTAACCTCGTCAAATAAAGGGAACGTCAAAACCAACGTCACCCACCAGAGACAGACGGACAAAGAACAGATCTGATTGGTTATCACTTCGGAATGTTTAAATAGAAGCCAAAAATAGACCAATGGGCTTCCTGCGTGGGCAGAAGTGTTGATTTTAAACCCGGTGATGTCACCTGCTTCCTGGTTACCAAAACCCCCCCGCAGTGACTTTCAGCCGACGACCGATGGAGTCATCCGCTGACTGTGTTTGACTTAAACACACAGAATGACTCACTGTGTGCTTAAATCTGCACATCAGGCAAGTTTGGATTGTTTCTATGTATATACTTTTACTTGCTGTTGTTTTATGCAGTTACTACTATTTCTTATTTTTATTTATTTATTGTTATTTTATGTATATACAAATCTTTTTTTCATTCCACATTCGTACTCTAACTTCTAATCTTAAAGGTGGGGTAGGTAGGAATGGAGAAACCAGCTCGAGTGCGCTAGAATTTGAAAGTACGCAACCGGAACAAATCTGCCCCTTCCTTCAGACTTCCTCACAGAGCCCCTCCCCCAACACGCACGAACGCGCACATGACCAATGAGGGCACGAGATAAGTGTGTGCCCAGATGGAAGGCTGACAGGCAGGTAGGCCATCCAGTTACTTTAGCCGGCTCAGATGATTGGTCGTGCTTTTTACAGCGCCACGGCTTGAAAATTGCATGACATTTTTTTTTAATTAATTGCGGAATGTTAAGAGCATTCCATGGAATATAACAACAAGTGTTTCTGAAGTGAAACCCCACCTTTAATTTAAATATTTGTATTCTACTTTTTTATTTATCTTTAATATTTTTCATTCTAAAATGGAGCAACGAAATCCAATTTCCCTAGAAAATAAAAATTTGAATAAAGATTCTGATACTTTCTAATTTACAATACATGAGAGTAACACCTATGTCGCTTACCGGGCAAAAAGTACGGCTCCGCCCACTTTTGGGGGGAAACAAGCGGTCATTAAACGGCGCTCAATACAAATTTTTACGTTTTTGCCAATCCGATCAGAAATGTAAGAAAACCGTGGATTTTCGGATCTTCAAAAAGCGGCCAGACAGGCAAACAATTACATTAAATCAATGGAAATCGACAATCGGCTCGCAGCTACTACTTATAATATATGTTATCCCTTATTTTAAATTGAACTACTTAATGTTGAATGAAATGTAAATCATGTTTTTCAAAGACTGTGACCTAAAACCAGAGATTAAGAGCTTCAAATAAAAACATTTAGATTTATTCATTTGAAGACAATAACACTTTCTGATTAAAATATTCTGTCTTATTTCACTCTAATTGAGTAATTATTCACAACATGATGTAACCCTTCATCACATTAAGCCTTGATCAACAAACGATTTTGTATTTTATTATATATGTTGCATCGTTGGAGGAGCTCAGGTCAGAAGAATTTCATTGCCATTTCTACACCGTAGCTTTGTGCATATGACAATAAAACCTTTGAATCTTTAAATTTGAATTGACTGCTCACCTGTTGTCGGTGGAGTGCCAGGGTAGTGTGAAGGGGCCGGGGTGGAGCTGCATGGCAGACAGAGGGGGAGGAGGGGGGAGAGGAGGGGAGTCTGTGGGGGGAAGGCAGGGTGGAGGAGGAGGTGATGTAGGAGGGAGGAGGAGGAGGGAGGGGTACTCCGAAAGCTTCGTCAGGTGCCAGAAGGGCGGCCGGATAACGGGAACACTGCGCCTAAAGGGTGAAGAGGAGAGGGAGAAAATCAGGTGACGACAAACCATGTACGTAACAGGAAGTCTTCTTTATCTCTCGTCATTACATTTAGCCAAAATAACTTGAGGTTTATTCAGTAGTGGTGAAAAGAGGTTGAACGAGAGGAAGTTACAGAATGCAAAAAGTGCCCGTTAAGAATCAATAATGACACAAAAATGGTCACAAATGTTAGCAACGTTTTGAATTTATTAAGTGAACTTAGCTTAAACTAATACAGCAGCCCTGCCATAACTCCTGCCTTCATGAGGTTTATTATTGTATATTTAAGAGATGAAATAACTCAATTTTATAGTCATTTTGGAAGCTGTAAATTATTACTGATAGGTGTTTGTTTTTGTTACCCTCATTGCCTATAAATGTGCTAGACAGTATATTAGAGACACATTACTTCTGGATGTTTGAGGGAGTTTCTTAAATGTAGTTGCTTATGAGGCTTCGGACAACATTTAGAGATGATTTGTTGCATATTTTGAATTTACGACCAGACATTTGGTTTGGAGGTCATTATAACCGTCATTGGAGATGATCAGTCTGCTGGCACTGATAACTATTGTGGACTAACTAACATTAACATAAGTAACCTTAGATTTGAACCAAGCATAATAAGCTGCTGTGTTGTTTTAACTGCCTTATATATATATACAATGTCCAATATATAAATGA